GGTAGGGGGTCAGCCTAGGAAAGAATGGAGGAAGGGGGTAAAGGAGGTTTTGTGTGTGAGGGGCTTGGCCTTCCAGCAAGTATGCATGAGCATATTTGATAGGAGTGAATGGAGATAAATGGTTTTTAATACTTGATGTGCTGTTGGAGTGTGAACAAAGTAACATTTATGAAGGGATTCAGGGAAACCAGCAGGCCAGACTTGAGTCCTGGAGATGGGAAGTGCAGTGTCTGCACTCTGAAGGAGGGGTGTTAATGTTGCACCCCTTTGGCAAGACAGTAGTGGAGTGAATGATGATGAAAGTTTTTGTTTTTTGTGCCACCCTGCATTGGTGGGAATCGGCTGATCTTTTTCTTTCAACAAACCGGCTGTATCCCACCGAGGCAGGGTGGCCCAAAAAGAAAAACAAAAGTTTCTCCTTTTAAATTTAGTAATTTATACAGAAGAAGGGGTTACTAGCCCCTTGCTCCCGGCATTTTAGTCGCCTCTTACAACACGCATGGCTTACGGAGGAAGAATTCTGTTCCACTTCCCCATGGAGATAAGAGGAAATAAACAAGAACAAGAACTAGAAAGAAAATAGCAGAAAACCCAGAGGGGTGTGTGTATATATATGCTTGTACATGTATGTGTAGTGTGACGTACCTGAAATCTTGCATGTTTATGAGACAGAAAAAAGGACTCCAGCAATCCTACCATCATGTAAAACAATTACAGGCTTTCGTTTTACACTCACTTGGCAGGATGGTAGTACACCTACCATCTGACTTATGACCGAGTTCGGTTCCAAGAAACCGGTTGCAAGTCGAAATGGTCGTAAGTCGAACTTTACTACTGAATATCAACAAAACATTTTTGTAATGACTTTATTTTATTGTTTTATTTTGGTATTTCATGTTTTACTTTATTTTTATGTTGTTAGTACTGTATTTTATACTGTAAGGTTTAGGATAAACACTGTGTACAACACAAATAGTTGTTTATTTCCCAGAAATTTGGCATAAAAAACACGGTCGTAAGTCAAGTGGTCGTAAGTCGAGCAGGTCGTAAGTCGGATGGTAGGTGTACCTCCCTGGGCGGTTGCTGTCTACCAACCTACTACCTAGGGAATCGGCTGATGTATTAATAAAATAAAAAAATGATATAAATGCCAGGTAACAAGTTTACATTTACATATATTAAGTTAGCACTAGAACCTTTGATATACCTTTGAAGAATTTCAAGAGTATATCTACTCTCTGAGCCCGACCATTGGTCAGGCTCGTCTGGTGCTCGCCTGGTCAACCAGGCTGTTGCTGCTGGAGGCCCGCTGCCCCACATATCCATCACAACCTGGTTGATCTGGCACCTGGTGAAGATACTTGTCTAGTTTCCTCTTGAAGGCTTCAGCACTTGTTCCAGCAGTGTTTCTGATATCTTCTGGTAAGATGTTGAAAAGTCTGGGGCCCCGGATGTTGACACAGTGTTCCCTTATTGTCCCCACCGCACCCCTGCTCCTCACTGGGTTTATTTTACACTTCCTCCCGTATCTCTCACTCCAGTATGTTGTTATGGCAGTGTGCAGATTTGGGACCAAACCCTCGAGTACCTTCCAGGTATATATTATCATGTACCTCTCTCTCCTCCTCTCCAATGAGTACAAGTTCAAGACTTGCAGGCATTCCCAGTAGTTTAGGTGCTTTACTGGCTCAATGTGAGCTGTAAACAAACTCTGTATTTGTTCCAGCTCCGATATTTCTCCTGCCCTGAATGGGGCCGTCAGCACTGAGCAATATTCTAAGTGAGGGAGCACTAGCGATTTGAAGAGTGTCACCATCGGCATTGTTTCCCTTGTTTTGAAAGTTCTCAATACCCACCCAGTCATCTTCCTGGCTGTCATGATCTTTGTCTTGTTATGGTCTTTAAAAGAAAGGTCCGCTGACATAGTTATTCCTAGGTCTTTTACGTGTTCCTTATGTTCTATTTGGTGACCCTCTTGAGTTTTGTATATAGTGCTCCTTTTGAGTTCTTCATTCTTTCCATACCTAAGCAGCTGGAACTTATCACCATTGAACGTCATGTTGTTTTCCAATGCCCACTGGAAAACCCTGTTTATGTCTTCCTGTACTTCTTCGGTGTCCTCTACCGTACTGACTTTCATGCTTATTTTAGTGTCATCTGCAAATGATGATACAAAAGTGTGCCGGGTGTTTTTGCCTATGTCTGCTATGAGGATGAGGAACAGCAGAGGTGCCAGGACATTGCCTTGGGGCACTGAGCTTTTGACCTCGGTGATACTGGAAACTAGTCATTAAAACAATAAAAAAAATAAAATATGCACACAGTACACTCATTACTTATCTTAAAATATTTGTAGTCTTAATGTAGAATGAGAGGTGAGTAGTATTTATTGTAAGAGGTCAGGTATGGTCTATATGGCCACCCCACCCACACGTAATATATATTTAAAACACCCTAGAGCAATAAAATGCATATACACTACACTCATTACTTACCTTAAAATATCTGTAGTCTTAATGTAGGGTGAGAAGTGAGTAAATGAGATAAAACGAATAAATGAGAGAGAGAGAGAGAGAACAAATAAATGAGAGAGAACAGAGACACAGAGTATGTAAACAAACAGACGAATGCGCCTGGTTATGGTTCATACACATTCATTTCCATGTTTGCGAGTGAGTAAGTTTTTATTCAGGTACAGGTACACATAAAAACAGTTACATAGATTACCATACATAGCGGCATATGTGTAGATTACCCAGGATAACCCAAAAAAGTCAGCCAGAGTGTTTATTTCCATGTTTGTCAAGCTTATATCATAATACAAACACCTTACATTGTGTACAAGTTGTCTCCACGTTGGTACAGTAGAATAAATAAAGAGATACACTCCCATTCTCATGTAACACACGATTTTAGAAGGAATGACACTCTGAATGACGGCATATGTAAGGAATAATTTTCTACAGTTATCCCCAGTAATACTATTGTGTACTATAGAAAACATTATTCTTTCCAACATTCTGACAAGATGACTGGAACAACATCTCATGTTTATGTTAATTTATTCTACTGTGGATGCATTTATCATGTTTATATGTTATGTAGCATGTTCATTATATAATTTTGAAAAAATATCGTAGATGGATTAATGAAAATGTTTATATTAATGTAATATATGACATTTAATGCGCCTCAGAGTGATTATTATTATCATCATTATTAATATGGCATCTTTGAGACTAATAAGACATTCTTAGTGATTTTAATGTGTACCTGAATGCCAGTACAGTGTGTAAGTTTATTTAGGTACAGGTACACATAAGTATAATTATCAGAGTACAGTGGACCCCCGAGTTTCGTGATTAATTCGTTCCAGAGAGCCTGCCGAAAGTCGAAATTCACAAAACTCGAAACCATTTTCCCCATAAGAAATAATGGAAATAAAATTAATCCGTTCCAGACACCCAAAAATATTAAAATAATTTTTTTTTTGTTTTCAAATTAAATAAAGATTTACATACTGAAAACAATCAGAAATCAAGTACATGCATATAAAAAATAATAATAACATTACACTTACCTTTACTGAAGACTTCTGGGTGGATGGAAGATGGGAGGAGGGGATAGGAGGAAGGTGTACACTATTGTTTGGAAGGAGAATCTCCTTCTATTAGGACTTCAGGTAGCAAGTCCTTTTCTGGGGTTCCTTCCCTTCTTCTTTTAATGCCACTGGGAACAACTTGAGAGTCACTGGACCCCTGTTGCACAAAATATTTGTCCAGAGAGGTCTGTTTCTGGCATTTCTTTATGATTTGCCTGAAGTGGGACAAGGTTTTGTCACTAAACATGTTTCAGCTTGGTCAGGGTGATACTTTTCAACAAAACTTTGCAACTCATTCCACTTTGAACACATGTCCTTAATCACTGAAGAAGGCACCTCCTTCACTCTCTTTTCCTCCTCCTCTGAAGCAAGTTCCTCAGCTGTGGTCTGATGCTGTTCCAGTTGAAGCTCTTGCAGTTCGTCAGTGGTTAGCTCTTCCCTGTGGTCCTCCACCAACTCTTCCACATCCCTGTCACTCACCTCCAACCCCATGGACTTGCCCAATGCCACAACACCTTCCACAACAGGCAGAGGGTCGATAGGGTCAGGGTCTGCTTCAAACCCTTCAAAATCCCTCTGGATCATGTTCACTCTCTTTACCAAAGGGCTTGCACTAGCTTTCTTTGGGCCCATGGTGACTTATTTAGCAGTTGCAATCACAAAAAACAATGGATTATTACTAATGAACCCGTGGGGTGATGGTCACGTGTTGGTAAACAATGGCACATTGAGTGTGAATGGCGTGGGAGACTGGCTTTGTGTGCACGGTGACGGGCAGACGGGTACCGGACGGTCGCCGAATCACGAGTCTAATCACGAAACTTGTGGCCAAATTTTGCCGAAAAAATTACAGAAAGTCAAATTTCATGAAAGTCGATGCTGCCGAAACTCGGGGGGTTCCACTGTACGTAAATATAAAATATGAAATAACTTTAAAATGCTTGAAATTTTGGAAAGCTTCTAGACATAATGGAGAAATGTGCTCAGAGAATGTAAACAAACCAGGTGGCATGTGGTGATTGTATTAGAAAGTCAGGTGAGGGGAGCTGTATAGCAAGTTTTGGTCATAATTTGAAATATCTGTATTACCGGAACACCATAAGGCGAAACACCATAAAGTAGGGCCCTACTGTATTAGGTTAGTGTACCACTTTGTCAAGTATGCCCTCAGTCCATGGAATTTATCCTTTCACCATCTTTATGTAAAAATCACACATTAAAGGATTAATTTTTAGTTGAAGCAAATTTTGTTTGTTCAAACATTCTTAATTGCATTAAAATGTTCGCATACAGTAACTGACTTAAAGCTATTTATGTAACCATGCTCTTGTATTATTGTAAATAAGAGATCTGGTTATGGTTTTTAAATGGTTTATTTAATTTTCTATATCTTCCCTAGGTACACCAGGCCGTGAACAAGCCTTTGATAATCGTGCTGCCAATCTTGCACATTTCAGCAACAGAGCTGCTAAAACAGCTCTTATGGTTGCTGCTGGTAGTTCAGGTGGCAATAAAAAACTAACAGAAGCTCTACTTGCATCTGCTGGTCAGGTAAGCTTTACTTACTTCATAATAGTTCTTTGTATGGTATGTTGTCTCTCGTCATATTTGTATCACTTCATTTGTGAGTAAAACTTTCAGCAGTATTGTATTATGGAGTGTTTGTCTACATTTGGAAAATACAATTTTTAATTTGGAATTTTATCCCGAATTCAGCATATCTGAATTTTAAAAAAAAATAAACAGATTTAACAAAGTCAAAACTACATGATATAAAGTAATCCTTTACTTAACATGTGGGTTATGTTTCTTGAAAATTGATATATACCTGAAGACACACTACAGAAAGTTAATAACCTGCAAAGAAGTAGGTTTACATTCCAAACATCTCAAAAGTGAACCCCCTTCAAAAATTCAAATAATTTATGTACAGTATTCTAGGTAGTAGGTTGGTAGACAGCAACCTCCCAAGGAGGTACTACTGTCCTGCCAAGTGAGTGTAAAACAGAAACCTGTAATTGTTTTACATGATGGTAGGATTGCTGGTGTCTTTTTTCTGTCTCATAAACATTCAAGATTTCAGGTGCGTCTTGCTACTTCTTCTTACACTTAGGTCACACTACACATACATGTACAAGCGTATATGTACATACCCCTCTGGGTTTTCTTCTATTTTCTTTCTAGTTCTTTTTTTTTTTTTTCAACAAGTCAGCCGTCTCCCACCGAGGCAGGGTGACCCAAAAAAGAAAGAAAATCCCCAAAAAAGAAAATACTTTCATCATCATTCAACACTTTCACCACACTCACACATTTTCACTGCTTTTGCAGAGGTGCTCAGAATACAACAGTTTAGAAGCATATACGTATAAAGATACACAACATATCCCTCCAAACTGCCAATATCCCAAACCCCTCCTTTAAAGTGCAGGCATTGTACTTCCCATTTCCAGGACTCAAGTCCGACTATATGAAAATAACCGGTTTCCCTGAATCCCTTCACTAAATATTACCCTGCTCACACTCCAACAGATCGTCAGGTCCCAAGTATCATTCGTCTCAACAGATCGTCAGGTCCCAAGTATCATTCGTCTCCATTCACTCCTATCTAACACGCTCATGCACGCTTGCTGGAAGTCCAAGCCCCTCGCCCACAAAACCTCCTTTACCCCCTCTTTCCAACCCTTTCGAGGACGACCCCTACCCCTCCTTCCTTCCCTTGTTCTTGTTTATTTCCTCTTATCTCCATGGGGAAGTAGAACAGAATTCTTCCTCCGTAAGCCATGCGTGTTGTAAGAGGCGACTAAAATGCCGGGAGCAAGGGGCTAGTAACCTCTTCTCCTGTATATATTACTAAATGTAAAAGGAGAAACTTTCCTTTTTCCTTTTGGGCCACCCTGCCTCGGTGGGATACGGCCTGTGTGTTGAAAGAAAGAAAGATATATATACAGTGGACCCCCAGTTAACGATATTTTTTCATTCAAGAAGTATGTTCAGGTGCCAGTACTGACCGAATTTGTTCCCATAAGGAATATTGTGAAGTAGATTAGTCCATTTCAGACCCCCAAACATACACGTACAAACGCACTTACATAAATACACTTACATAATTGGTTGCATTGGGAGGTGATCATTGAGCGGGGGTCCACTGTACACACACACACACACACACACACACACACACACACACACACACACACACACACACACACTCACACTCACACTCACACTCACACCACTCACTCACTCACTCACTCACTCACTCACTTACTTACTTACTTATGGGTTTTCTTCTATTTTCTTACTAGTTCTTCTTCTTGTTTATTTCCTGTTATCTCCATGGGGAAGTGGAACAGAATTCTTCCTCCGTAAGCCATGCGTGTTGTAAGAGGTGACTAAAATGCCGGGAGCAAGGGGCTAGTAACCTCTTCTGTATAAATTACTAAATTTAAAAAGAGAAACTTTTGTTTTTCTTTTTGGGCCACCCATCCTTGGTGGGATACAGCCAGTTTGCTGAAAGAAAGAAAGAAGTATATGTTAATATACAATTAACCTTCTGGCAGACGCATTAAGTTATTTTATGCTAGACGTAATTGTGTAAAGGATGCAGATGAGAGTATTTTGTGCAGTGCCTCTTCCCAAAAAGAGCCTGTCTCATTGGCATTATAAATTTGTTCAGGAAATGAATTGTGCTTTTCCACCTAACTTTTTTTTTCTCCAATGAACTGGCTTTATCCCACTGAGGCAGGGTGACCTGAAAAGAAAAATGAAAGTTCTTCTTTTTAAATTTAGTAATATATATAGGAGAAGGAGTTACTAGCCCTTTGCTCCCGCCATTTTAGTCGTCTCTTACGACACGCATGGCTTATGGAGGAGGAATTCTGGTCCAGTTCCCCATGGAGATAAGCAGAAATAAACAACAAGAACTAATAAGAAAACAGAAGAAAAGCCAGAGGGGTGTGTGTATATATATATGCTAGTCAATAACAACACTGCAGCTAGCTTGGGGATTGAACCTGTGTTGTTTTAGCTTGCCTGATGGTGAGCGAAAATTCATGATGCTCTAACCCACTGGACCATCCAGTCCTACAGTGATCACTCGCCCATCAGAGCTAGGTGTTGTACTGTGAACCAAGGGCATATGATGGTGTGGGTGCCTTCAGAGCTAATTTCATTCTACTCCCCATTTGGTGTACTAGACTCCACAAGCAGTATATATAGTATTGTAACCACGAATGAGTGGTATTTAATCAATAACAATACTGCGACTAGCTGGGGGATCGAATCTGTGTTGTTTTAGCCCGCCTCATGGTGAGTGAAAATTCACGACGCTGTAACCCACTGGATCATCCAATCCTACAAAGATCACACACCCAGCAGAGCTAGGTGTTGTACCATGATCCAAGGACATATGATGATGTGGGTGCCTTCAGAGCTAATTTTATTCATGATAGTCACAGTGTTGTTATTGATTAAATACCACTTGTTCGTGGTTACAGTATTGTATATATTGCTTGTGAAAGTTAGTACTACACCAAACAGGGAGTAGAATGAAATTAGCTCTGAAGGCACCCACAATATCATATGTCCTCGGATCACTGTACAACATCTAGCTCTCCTGGGTGCATGATCTTTGTAGGATTGGATGGTCCATTGGGTTGGAGCATCGTGAATTTTTGCTCACTATGAGACTGGCTAAAAAACAGGTTCGATCCCCCAGATAGTCGCAGTATTGCTATTGATTAAATACCACTCATTCGTGGTTACAATACTATACAGTGGACCCCCGCATAGCGACCTTAATCCGTGCAAGAGGGCTGGCTGTTATGCGAAATGTTCGGTATGCGAATGAATTTTCCCGATAAGAAATAATGGAAATCAAATTAATCCGTGCAAGACACCCAAAAGTATGAAAAAAAAAATTTTACTACATGAAATATACATTTTCCTACACACAAAGAGAAGGATACATGCACAATAGTAGAGTAGTACATGCACAATATATATTGTGCATGTACTACTCTACTAAATGAAGAATAAATGACACTTACCTTTATTGAAGATGCAGCAATGACTGATGAGACACTGTGGCCTGGGAGTGCCTTTTCCTCCTGAGTACTGTAGGTCCTGTTTGGTATTTTCTTCCAGAACAGGCCTTATCACACTGTGTATGCCACTACGATTCTTAAATCTCTCAAACCAACCTTTGCTGGCTCTAAATTCACCAATATGAGCACTAGTTCCAGGCATTTTCCCTGTTCACCTGGGTGTTAGTCGACTGGTGTGGGTTGCATCCTGGGAGACAAGATTAAGGACCCCAATGGAAATAAGTTAGACAGTCTTCGATGACACTGACTTTTTGGGTTATCCTGGGTGGCAAATCCTCTGGGTTAATTGTTTCTTGGTATTCTCAATAAGCCACACCAACAACGGTGGTACAGCAGCAGCAGCAGCTGACGGTGGTACAGCAGAAACAGACGATGCTACAGCAGCAACAGACGATGCTACAGCAGCAGCAGACGATGCTACAGCAGCAACTGACGATGTTACAGCAGCAGCAGATGATGCTACAGCAGCAGCAGCAGCAGACGATGCTACAGCAGCAGCAGCAGCTGACGGTGGTACAGCAGCAACAGACGATGCTACAGCAGCAACAGACGATGCTACAGCAGCAGCAGACAATGCTACAGCAGCAGCAGCAGCTGACGGTGGTACAGCAGCAACAGACGATGCTACAGCAGCAACAGACGATGCTACAGCAGCAGCAGACGATGCTACAGCAGCAGCAGACGATGCTACAGCAGCAACAGACGATGCTACAGCAGCAGCAGACGATGCTACAGCAGCAGCAGACGATGCTACAGCAGCAGCAGACGATGCTACAGCAGCAGCAGACTGTACTACAGCAGCAGCAGCAGCTGACGGTGGTACAGCAGCAGCAGCAGCTGTACCACCAATAGTAGCGATGGTTGATTGAGGTTTATTATACAACCTGGCCAGCTCGGAGACACGCACTCCACTTTCATACTTATCAATGATCTTTTTCTTCATCTCCATAGTAATTCTCACCCTTATTGCTGTAGGGTTGGCACTAGAAGCTTTCTTGGGGCCCATGGTCACTTATTTTCCAGAAAAAATCACCAAAAACACTGTAATAATACGAAATGTTCCGATTGTATGCTTGGATGTTACCGCGGAGGCTGGCTGGTAAACAATGCCACCGGCGGAACATGTGAGCGTGGCTCAGGCCGCACATTGGACGCGTCTCGGACGAAGGGCGGTGAGCGGGTTTTTGGGCGGTATGCGAGGCAAAATTTTTGCGATCAAAGCGTCCGGTATGCGGATTGTACGGTATGCGATGCGTCCGGTATGCGGGGGTCCACTGTATATGGTAGTACATGCATGTGTAGTGTGACCTAAGTGTGAGTAGAAGTAGCAAGACGTAACTGATATCTTGTATGTTTATGAGACAGAAAAAAAAGACACCAACAGTTGTACCATCATGTAAAACAGTCACAGCTTTCCATTTTAGACTCGCTTGGCAGGACAGTAGTACCTCCCTTGGTGATTGCCGTCTACCAACCTACTACCTCGGACTAGCATATTTGAAACCATACCACGGGTGGGGTTTGAACCCGTGGTCAGAGAGTCTCAAACTCCAGACCATCGCGTTAGCCACTGGGCCAGCTAGCTTCAATAAGATTCATCCAACTACATATATTTCTACACCATAGGAAAGTTAGCATAGGCACCACTGTGACCACAAATGCAAGTTTTTACAGACGAATCTCCTGCTATGGTGTAGAAATATACCTAGTTGGATGAATCTTATTGAAGCTAGCTGGCCCAGCGGCTAATGCGATGGTCTGGAGTTTGAGAGACTCTGACCACGGGTTCAAACCCCCCACCCGTGGTATGGTTTGATTGCAATCGTGTCAATACAATTTTGTGAGTCTAGCATATTTGTCTCGAATAATTTCCTGCATCTTCATGAAATACAGATATCCATTCGTCAAATAGCTTAATTTGACAATTACTGTGGGTATATTGAATATAGGTGTCAATCTTAAGCTGTTTATAACAAGACCTGACCTTTTCCATCAACCATGTACCAGTGGGTTGTAATACATTTTTATGGCACCACGCAAGACTTCATTCTTATAGAAGTTTGTCAAGTTATTCACTAAAAGCCTCTTGTAAAGTTTTATTAGCCATGAAGAACATAACAGGCACAATACCATAACTAGAACAATACACAAATGACCTGCACATAGGAGAGGAGAAAAGTTATGACAATGTTTCAGTCTGTCTTGGACCATTCACAAGTCACACTGACAGAAGGAAGCATGTGAGCCAGTATATATAGGTGAGGAGGACAAGGAGGGAAGAAAGAGAGGAGGAAAAAGAAGTAATGATAGTGGTAATGCTGGTAATGGAAGTAGTAGTGGTAGTAGAAAGTAGAGGAAGTAGTTTTATTCCACAAGAGAAAGAAAGGGGAGCAAAGGGGGCAATAGTAATGGTAGTAATAGTAGTAAAAAAGGTAGAAGGAAGAAGCAGTAATAGTAGTAAGAGTGATGGACATAGTAGCAGAAGTAAGGTAAGTCTAAAGACAAGAAAAGGAGCACTGCAGGAAAGCTAAGAGTCCATGAGGGGTAGGACCAAAAACACAGTGGGGGGGGAGGAACTGAAGGACAGAACATACTAGGAAGAGGAAAAGAAAAACAAAGTACTACTACTACTGCTGCTGCTGCCGCTGCCGCCACCGCCGCCGCTTATTATTCTTAGTCCTTCTCCAGTCCCTGGCCTCCTCGCCTTTATATACTGGCTCACATACTCCCTTCTGTCGGTGTGACTTGCGAATGATTCAAGACAGACTGAAACGTTGTCATAAGCTTTTCTCTCTCCTATGTGTGGGTTGTATGTGTTTTATTAGTCATGGGATGATACCAGATTATTTGCCAATACCAATAGTCAATTTTAGGCTGATATCCATTGATACTGGTAAGGATACCACCAAAATTGACTGATACTCACAGATACTGATACTCTAGTTTTAATCTGATACAGTATCATCAAAATTAGCCGATACCAATACATTGGGTTATCACTAATTTTGATATTTCTGTTGCGCCTTAGCACAAATGGACATTGCCCTTGCAACATCTCTTTGTCATAAGCATGTTAATACTTATGTCACTATCAAGGTTCCTGCACAAGTAATAGTGAAATTCTTTTTATATTTTCCCTTTATATTAGAAGGGCTGGGCCCCACTGCAAATGTTGCACTTGTATTAATACTTCTTGGGATCTTGCTTCTCAAGGGCACAACTAGCCTAATAACAAATGGTAGGAAGGTCCTAAGAAGTGATCATTTTGGTAAAACTGGTAATGTTGGCTGCATTCTCAGTAATTCATCAGTCTCTACACAAAAAGTGGCATTTTATTCTTGAAAATGTTGAATTCTAGTTAAAATATTTTTCTGAAATTGCCCATTGGATGTAATCTTTAAGATTGTCATATTTTGAATTTTAGTGTTTATCCAGTTCTAACTTTTTAGATACCACCCCCTCTGAGTATGTGTGCATTTTCTTTTAAAACGCACCAGCCATCTCCACCAAGGTAGGGTGATCCAAAAAAAGATGAAAAACTTACATTCATTCAATAGTTGTCTTGCTAAAAGCATGCTGACATCTCAGTTCAGATGTGCCCACCAGGCTGCACCATCCCAACCCCTCTTTAAGAGTGCAGGCACTGTACTTCCTACCTCCAGGACTTAAGTTTAACTAACTAGTTATACCCTGAATCCCTTCATAAATGTCACCTTGCTCTCACTTCACCTGCACATCAAGTAATGGAAACCACTTGCCTTCACTCATGCTTGTCTAATGTGCTCACACAGGCCTGTTGAATGTCCAAGCTCCCAAATATTTTTCTTTTCTTTTATTTTTCTCAGCCTACACCCATCTTCCTTTAGCTTCTGCTCTTTTAACATTATGTTTGATATGCCTTTTCACATATATTACCATGTTTTTGAAAAGGACTATTTTTATAAATATTTATCACAGTGCTCCTTAATTCTTAGGGACCTGGATGTGGTAGAAAAGCTGATCAAGAAAAATGGCAGTTTTGTTCATATTTTTATGAACAGTTCTTGCTCAGATTTCAAATAATGCTTTTTTCCCATAGGTTGAAAGTCTAACACCCCAGTTAGTAGCTGCTGGTCGCATTCGCATGACGTACCCAACTAACAAGGCAGCAGATGAACACTTTGAAAATTTACGTCGACAGTATGCGGAGAGCATTCAGAAAGTGAGAGACTTGGCTGATGAGGCTACAGAGTCTGCATCATTTATCAAAGCATCAGGTAAATATATTCTTTATGTTAATGACATAAATGCTGAAAAGTTTGGAAATCATATTTAATAGAAAAAAATGTAAGACAATAGGATGTAGTGTGGAATGAAAAAGGGAAAACAAAAAAGGAATGCATAAGTGTATAGTACTTCCAAGATTTTTGTAGGAGTATAAGGAATGGTAGATGAATATTGCACTGAGGCTAAGGCTGGGGGCAGTGGCGATGATGTGCTTGAAGATAAAAATGTGACGTGAATATTATGCAGAGAATAAGGAGGGAAGGAAGGGTATGGGTCATTCTAGGAAAGTCTGGAGGGAAGGAGTAAAAGATTTTGTGTTCAAGGGGCTCGGACATGCAGCAGGCATGTGTGAGTGTGTTAGGAGTGAATGGAGACAAGTGGTTTTTGGGATCTGACAAGCTGTTGGAGTGTGAGCAGGGTAATATTTTGTGAAGGGATTCAGGGAAACCAGTTAGTTGGACTTGGGTACTGAAGGTGGGAAGTACAATGCCTGCACTTTAACCCTTTCAGGATCGACAGGCCCTGTACTTGTTCTCAGGGTCGGCCAAATTTCAAAAAAAAAAAAAATTATTTTTTCTTATGAAAAATAGAGTTTATTTTACTGAACATTATAGGCTAAACAAAAATTTTTTACCGTCAATACTTACCGAGATATGGAGGCGTGAAGTTGATAAAAAAGGGGCACCATGTGGCAACATCGCCAACTGCCTTCACCCGGTATTCTTTTATTTACTTTCTTATGTACTAATTTCTATTATTTTTTAATTTTTCTTTTTCCAAGTAACTTTTATGGCCTTTGAGACCAGTATGATCAGTATTTTGTAAGTTATTTCTTTTTCAATACTACACAATAAGGGCATAAACACTGTTGTCATTGTTTTGTTTACAAAAAATATTTGCATAAACAAACGATATGAAATGTTGTTTATTACTATTTTTCTATATTTTATATACACATATACAGTCACAGGGAATGTTTCTAGAAGTTCTGCAGCCTGTGGAAGTCTTTGAAAGATGGTGTCATGCACAGTGGTGTTTTACATTCTTCACACATAAAACAAGTGTCTCTGCATTGTTGTGGGCGTTTTTTTGTATGTGCAAAGACGTAACACTTCTTTTGAGCCTTCTTGAAAGCAGTAGCAGGCAGTTTTACCAGGAAGTGATCACCATGCTTCAAACGAGAAGGAAGTTGTTGAAAATTTAGTGGGCGGTTTTCTATTGCAGGTGCTGTTCCTTGGTACTTGAATACTATTTGTCTGATGACAGACAAGCAGAATTTGCCATATGGTGGTTTGTTTCTGGTCCTCATCTTATACATATTATTCAGCATGGAAATGTCCAGAAGATGGAAAAAGAGTTTTATATACCACTTATAACTCTTGTGAACACAATCAGCAAACCCAATCTGCATGTCACATTTGTCCACTGAATGCATATTGAGAGTATAGTCCATCACAGCTGCAGGTTTTAGAATGGGTTCATTGCTTTCTCTATGCTGCCTGCCAGTGTCTGCCATTTCATTAGGGTGAACTGATGACAACAGTGTGACATCTCGTTTGTCATGCCATCGAAATGCCATGATGTCATTGGCAGCAAATGCCTGCACCTCACTTCTACGAGTGCCAGCGTCAAACCTGGGCATGTGTTTCCGATTTGCACGCACTGTGCCACACACATCTGTCATGTTCACTCGCAAAAAATCACTGAGTGTGGGGCTTGTGTACCAGTTATCTGTATATAATATATGCCCCTTACCAAGATATAGTTCTATCATTGTTCTAACCACATCACCAGAGATACCCAATAACTTCCTGGTATTTTGCAATGTATAACTTCCAGTGTACACAGTAATATCCAATACCAGACCACTGTAACAATCACAAAGCACAAACAACTTTATACCAAAGCGTTTCCTCTTGCTTGGTATGTACTGCTTGAAAGAGAGTCTTCCTTTGAACAGAATCAAAGACTCGTCAATTACAAGCTTCCTGAAGGGATAAAAATACATATTGAATTTTTCTTTCAGATACACAAACACATGCCTAATCTTATATAACCTGTCGTTTCTGTCAGGCCTGGTTTTGTCAGAGAAGTGAAGCATACGTAACATTAGCATGAATCGATTCACTGGCATTATATCACTGAAACCTGGGGTTGCACTCAGGCGGTCTGTTGACCAGTATGATTTCACACTGTGCTTATACACATGTGGCATAAGCATTATTGTGGCAGAGAAAAGATACATCTCAGCCACAGTTGTCTCCTTCCACTGGTGTAGACGTGATTTTGGTGAAAGTATTGTGTTTACCATGGTGTACTTGTACTATGTGTTGCTCTCCATGACAATACTTTCCATCAGGGGTTAGTCAAAGAATAACTCGAAACATTCCAGTTCACTGGCATTGTTCCCAAGTGTACAGGATGGCCGTATTCCACTTTGGCTGTCATCAAACTGGTGGGGATTTGGAACAAAACTGACAGCTTCCTGCCAATTCCAGGTGCGGTCTGCTGGTGGGTACCGGACAACGACAGGTGGTTGTGGTTGTGGATGCTGGTGTGGTGGGTGGGTGGGGGATGGTGGCCTTTGTTGTAGATCAGCTGAGGCAGCGGCATGGGTGGCAGGGTGGGTGGCAGCATGGCCCACTGCTGGTGCCTCATGGCCGGCACCACCACTACCACCACCATACACATTTTCCATCCCAATTGCAACACTATCATCGCTATTTTCACTGTCTGTTCCTGTTGTACAGCCACGGGATGTACACCGAGATGTACTCCTTCCCCTTGGAATAGCATGTGGCACACTACCAGAGCGCATATATCATCGTATATACTGACGCTTCTCTGGGGAATATTGCACTTCACTATCACTACTGGAACTAGTTTGATGAGCTTGTAGTTCATATTCACTATTACTATCATCACAAATGCTCACATCTGAGTCTGGGATTTGGGAAAATAGGAGTTTCCTCTTTGATTCTGGTACAACTGAACGTGAACAAGACGGCCCAGCACCAGAGGTGGAAGGCTGAGGGTTGTCTGGGTTTTCCTCACTATTACCGATATTATGGTCATTAGTTCCGGTCAAAACCTCACCAAAACCTTGAAACTCATCTTCACTGGCACTTCCATCTGTATTAGAACTGTCACTGGGGAACAAAAGTGTCCCAATTCGCCGAGGAGTGAGGCATGGTGGACATTGTTTACAAAGATGGTGTTCCCACAATGCACCACTGGGTCCCAGATTTTTTTTCCTCCTGCGCACACCCACCACACAGACCCATTCTCTCACATCTAGGCCTACCAGCCTTTTCCTGCGAGATTTGACGGCGCTAGAATTTATGCGTACTAGTACGTCAAAAAACTCTGCGCATAAGCCGTACTAGTACGGCTGAAACCCTGAAAGGGTTAACCCCTTAACTGTCCAAACGTAGATCTACTTTGTTACCGCTTGCTCTCCAAACGTAGATCCACATTTTATTTTTCCTGCCTCCAAATTTGGCACAGTTGGCCTGAGATGCCTGGTCAGTATAGAATGGGTCTTAACACGGTGTGCACAATATTAAAAAAATCTGGGATAACTTAGTACCTTGTGGGAGCACCAGTTCAGTTGAGTGCCAGCTAGAGCAAACAGCTTGGCAAACACCTGGGATTCACTGATGTTGTGTCGTATTAACATTCCCCTTTTAAGAGGAAAGTGATGTTGACCCTGAGTTTAGTGGGTTTGAGATAGATGTGGCCACAAGTGGTGAGGAAATATCAAAAACCTCAATAATAATCCATGTGCAACATTTATGCAACATCCTTTCAATTTTGATACCACTGATTAGTGTCATCATGCCAGTATGTCCTATAACCTATGCCCTAAGTAAAGAGAAAATTCTGGAACATGTGTAATACATGTTCGGCAGGCTGGGTGGCCGGCTGGGATGGTGGGTGGCTGATTGACTTTGGCTGTCTCTATCTTTATCTGTCTGTATCTGTATCTGTCTCACAGGTACATATGAATATAGTTATACATAGTGTAAACTACCAGGATAACCCAAAAAAAATACAGACAAAGTGCTATACTATGCTTGTAGATAGGCATAATAAGCATAACCAGCAAGTAATACGCATTTTCACTTCAGGAATCAGACATGACAACTGCATTGTGTGTAATACCTGTTGGTTCATGAGCAGCCCTCTTTGAGACAGAGACAGGCATACAGAGAGACAGGAAGACAGACACACACAGGCAGACAGAAAGACAGATAAGCAAAGACAGAGATAAACAGAGACAGCTAGACAGACTGAGTACAAAAAAATGCCCATTTACCTATTTCAACTACCCAATATAGTGATGAGAAATTGGCAATTTGGCCAATTTTGCACACAAAAAATTGCCAGTTTAAAAGTAGGGTCCAGAATAAACAAATGTAGACATTCCTCGCCAACATTTTCTCTGTTCATTAGATACATCCCCAGGCCTTAGGCCTCTTGTATATTACACTTTCTTTCCATTTTGAATCTTTATTCATGAAAAATAGAAGGTTTACTGTTATGCAGACAGTTGCATTATTGTAATAGTTGTATAAATAATGTTATCACATTTGTGAACACATATTAGACCAACTAGTTGGACATGTATTGGATGAGTGATGTAATTTGTGTACTCTGGAATATTGACAAAAATCAAACGTTTCCACTACTAGGAGCTCAATTTCAAGCCACTTTCATTCCTGAAACCAGTCAAAATTATCTGTAATATATCTTTCATTTTATCAAATGAGACCAAGAAACAGAGTTTACAACCATAAAAATCACACGAAAATACACTGCAAAGTCACTGTTTTAAACCAAAAACACAGTTGCAGTTTTTTTTTCATTATGCACTGTGTGCTGCAGGATTATTTTATATGGTGCACACTTACTGCATAGACCCATTCTCTCATGTCTCTAAGCTCAGATTTACTGCTCACAGCTTATCTGAGAGAGCTGAGTTCATCAC